ACATATTTGGAGAGTACATACTAGTCACACGTACAACTTTTGGTTGTCTATTTAAGTAGTCCGCTTATTACTAAGTTTTACACTAGATGTCATACCTGCAACCCGACTAGGGGGTTACCTATTTAAACTCTCTGCGCCTATGTGAGTTTTAAGGTAGTATTAATATCAAAGTTATACTTGTATAATATTTGAAATAAATTTCTAGCCCACCCAATTCAGTTAATGCATAAACTTTTCTAATATCTGTAGGTAAGCTACTAAATCTAAAATGGTAGTATTGTTTTATATTGAAAAAATTTTTAAAATAATTGTTAAATAATAAAGAAAAGTCATACCAAACCTAATCTAATCCATCATTATATAAAATTGCTTTGTTTCCGTTTGAAGAATTATTAATAATTTGTTTAACATCACTTATTATATTAACTTTATAATTTCTATACATCTTTTTAATTTGACTAAAAAAGAAGTCACAAATAAATTTCATATGACCCAGGATTATAAATTTACTGTGATTTCTTCATACCAACCTAACATTATTAACCAGAAATAAAAAAAAAGCATTAAGTTATTTTTATTTTGACTGCTACAATTATCACAAGTAATATGCAATTTTTTTTTTCTTCATGAGCAAATTTTTGAAGAAAATAATAAACTATATTAAGTGTAGTATTTGCTTCTTTAGAAATATCTTTCAAAAATTCATTTTCTTCTATTACAAAGTTTAATTGAAAATTTTGACCACCTTTTGTTTTACATACTCCAAATAAATATACTGAAAATAGATTTTTAAAGTAAATTGCCCTACTTGTTGCGATAAATATAGAATTGATATATATTGTGTCTAATTATAACAATATACGCAATTGATAAATCTTTCGTGCTCTTATTTATATTATTATTATAGTGTTGTCTTTCTCGATTCACTGCAATGCAATATTGATCATATTGAGTTTTAATTTGATTATATTCTTCTACATCCGATTTTGCTACTATTAATTTAGCTTTAAACATTTCACAAACTTCACAAAGATCACTTGCAGATGGTTGAAATTTAAGATAAGGAATTATTTCATACCAAAGCTTTCTAAATATAAAATAAGAAATAATTTTTGTATTTTTACTATTTTCATTATTAAAATATTTTTTAAACTCATTATAAACTAAAGTATATATATTTCCTGTAGACAAATAAATAAACAGTTCTAACTTATTTTTATGTCATATAGGAAAAAGAAGTCTATTAATATTTTTGTATTGTTCTAAAAAACATTTCACTAGAAATATAATGCTAGAATCAAGAAATATTTTACTTTTTAATTTAGGTACATATCCAGTATTTTTGTGAGTTCTTTTAGTTAATTCTTTTTCTTGTAAATGTTTTTGAATTGCTAAAAGGAAATGATCACTTATTTCACAAAGTTTTAAAAATACTGGCTTACAAAGTAATAACAATACATTTATAATTGTATTTATAATTTTGTCTTTGAGACTCTTTATTTTTATTACTTATTTCGAAAGCCATTAATTGTACTTTTAAAAATAGCTCAAGTTCCAGTTTTCTAATACTCTTATTTGAAAATATCTTTCAAAAAAATTTTTAAATCTAACTTTTTTATAACAAGTTCTTAAATCTTTTTTTTTAGACAAATAATGGTATGTACTAAAGTTGCTGGTGAAACTAGTGAAACTTGGTGAAATTTGGTAAAACTGGTAACTATCTAAAATCTGATTGGTTGTTGAATACAATAGCCAATCAGATTTTAGATAGTCACCAGTTTTACCAGTATGATTTAGTTTTACCAGTAGCTCTAGTATGTACAGTTCAATTGTTTAAAAAATTGTATTAGATCATGAACTATATTAAGAACTAATTTATTGTCTTCATATTCTTCTAATTCTAGTTCAATTAAATTGTATACTAGTTTTAAAGAATCTGAATCTAAATTATCTATGCTTAAATCTTCAGATAATGATATAAAGATATTAATTATATAAAGCTAAATGCTATCAAACAAAAAAATTTTTGTATAGTTTAAACATACTAAATATGCATCTTTTTAAATATACATTACACTTTTAAAATTTAAAATTAAATACTTTTTACATATATTTTATATATATTCAAAAATTACACATAGAATCTTGGATATACACTTTGTAAATATACATTATAATTATTTATTTTAAATGCTTTATAACTAAATAAAAAACAATACAAATATATATGCTTTTTATCTTCTACTATAAGATACAGAATAAATGCTATATTATCTAGACTTGAATATAAAATTCACTGAAGACTACATATTAAGAGACAAATAATTAACTTATAATACTACTACAGTCAAACCCCTCTATAGTCACCTTCTTTATAGTTACAAAATTGGAATAATTACAAATTTATTTTTACTAATTATTTATAACTATATAGAAAATATCTCTATATTAGTCACACCTCTTTACAATCACAGTTTTTTGTATTCCAAAGGTGTGACTATAGAGAGGTTTAACTGTATACAATATCAGTTTATTACTTATTATTAAGAAACTAGAACTATTATCTTGTAATAACTTGTGTTTATATGCATACATATTATGCATACATACAAGCTTTAACAAATTATACAGTACTGGACAGCAAAAAATATCTAATTTTTTTTAAAAAGTGCCAAATTTTAAGATTTATACTCAAATCTGATTGGCTATTTTTTGTGTAACAAGATTCTGATTAGTTAAAAATCTATAAAAACAATTTTTTTATATATTAAACGCCAAATTTTTGATTATATAGTAACTTTAAGCTTTAATAACTTTTTAAATTTATAATAAAAATAAAAATCTATTTTAACAGAATTGTAGCTTAGACTAAAAGCAACAAATCTGTAAGACAGATTTTTTTAAAATTCATTTGTTTGTAAGTTATAGGCATTTTTATATTTATATATAAAAAGTGAATATTTCTTGTTGTCCGGTACTGTAGCTAAACAATTGCACTAAATTAACGAAGATACAGATAGCTCATCAACGAAGTAATGGAGCATTCATTATTGCGAGATCTTATGACTTGTTGCAAATCTGATCTGTGTTTTTGTTTTTCTGTTTTGGGTAGTTTAATATTTTTTTTAGAATTTTTGTTAGATGCAGGTTTTTGGTGTATTACTAAAAATATGTTTGTATATGATTAGTAATTGTTAAGTTGTTATAATTATCAGCAAAAAAATAAGTTATTGTTAAGTTTTATAAATATTAGCAAAGAAGTAAATTATTATTAAGTTGTTATAAATATTAGCAAAAGAGTAATGATTATCAGGCCTAGGAAGTAAAAAGCGAAATATGCATATGTGAATTGTAAGAAAAGAGAAGTATTATAAGGATAGCTATTTGGAAGAAAGAAGCTATCTTTTGTTTTGCTATTATTCGCTTTAGAAGAGGCTAGCTTTATCATTTTGTCTGTTTTCCTCAATAGTAAGTGGCTTAGCAGCTATGCACAGTA